CCTCTCTTTCTCTGGCAAGCACACACACCCTCTGACAATGAAAAAACAAAAGCAATTATTTTCACATACAATCAAGGGATTGGGTGGCAATCTCCTTTTTCTGGACCTTGCATTCTTTCAGCTACTGCTTAGCTTTCTCCTTTCCTTCACCAAACTAGGCAGTGTGAGTGTCATTTTCGCTTCCATCAGGGGAAAGATGTGCGTATTGAGCATCTCTATTTTGTAAAGTATACATTCCTGAAAACCTGAAAGTCAGTTATCCAAAAGTTGAATATTAAGTTTATGTGTTATATTATTTCTATTCCCAAGGAGATGAGAAATGTACTTTAAATGTCTAATTGTGATTCTTGGAGGTACCGCCAATCATAAACAACATGAAAATTTTCTTGTCCCTTATCTTTAAAATAGCATGCAATGGGGGCTGGCAGGAGGCGTGGTGGTTGAGGTGCTAGACTCCCATATGGCCAACCATGGTCCGAGTCCTGGACCTAGCGGCTTGCTTTCTCACTTCTCTTTCTCTCTCTGGCTGAATTTTTAAAAGTCATATTAAATAAAATAATTCTTTAACAAAATAAAATAGCATGCAAGAATGTATTAGGTACTTGAATTCATATGAGTGAAATTTCCCACTTGGTAGTCCTATGGTGTATGTCTCTGTCTCCTTCCAAGAGAGATCAAGGACTGGGTAGATTGTGAGATGACCTGAAAAGGGTATGTATGTTTTGCACAGAGGCAAGCAAGCTCTAAGCCTCAGGACTCTGGTACTCTTTGAGGCTTAGGGGATGGGCAGATACATCTGGTATCCTGCCTGGATCAGCATTTGTACAGACACAAATAACTACCCACATATAAACGCCCTTTCCTACCAGGTTTGTCCTCCCGCTGATCATGATTGGCATATAGTCCACCTTGTGTTACCTTGAAATCATAATTAATCCTTGACAGCCAAATACTTCTGTAAGATAGCCCACAATCCTATCTTTACCTTCTTACCTCTTCCTCACTCTTCAAGGCACTACAGACTTTCACTGCTCTAAAACTTCCTTGGCAAAGATCACCCATAATCCTAATTGCAGTCAGGTGATGCTATTAGATCTTAATCTACTCAATCTTTCCCTGGTATCTGACACTATTGGCCAATTCTTTTTTTATATCCTTTGCCATTATGACACTAATTTTCCTCCTGTATCTCTGACCATTTCCAGAGGTCATTCTTTTATTTTTTTAAAGAATTATTTATTTAACTTTATTTATTCATTCATTTATTTTTTATTTGATGAGAGAGAGGCACAGAGAGAAAGTGGGAAAGTAAGCCACCAGGTCTGGGACTCAAACTGTGGTCAGCCACGTGGGAGTGTCCAGCGCCTTAACCACCATGCCACCCGCTGGTACCCCTGGAGGTCATTCTTTTTTTTTTTTTTTTTGAGAGGTTTTCGCTATAGGGGGCGTGTGGTCACCAGACAGACAGAGAGAGACATAGAGACAGAAAGCGAGAAATCACCCCCCCGGGGGATGGTCACGCCGCAATCCCTTCTCCTGCATTCTCCTCTTGGGATCTTGGGCAGGCATGGATACGCGCCTGACGTGAGTTCTAAGCCACCGAGTCTGGGATGCGAACCACGGTCGACTACGTGGGAATCCAGCGACATAGCCATTATGCTAACTGCTGGTTCCCCCCCCCAGGTCATTCTTAACTCCCCTTTTCCCATTACTGTCTCCCTACTATCTGATGAATCACCAAATCCTGTTGATTCTACACATTTTCCATTTCCCAACTCCATCCTCTCTTCTCCATCCTGTTACTCTCTTACTATATTGCCTTCCCCTGGCAAGAACTACAGGCTTATTCTTGATGTGCCTTCCCTAATTTCTTGCTAAAGTTGGTCTGTTATTGCAGTAGCCTCTCTGAAATGTATTTCTCCATGCTGTCTCTAGGTTTGTGTAATTGATTAAATTGCATGCTAATCATCTGTTTATACAAGTCTATAAGCTTCATGAGTCTGTGAACTCCTCCAGGGCAGCAACTAAGATTTATCCCATTAGAATATTGTCTTGGGCCTTGGACAGGGTGGCAAGTAAGGGATGTATTTCCCCAGACACTCAACAATGAGGTTGCTTTTCCGTTGCGTGGCCAACTGCTCAAATCGAGGTGGTTCCCCAATTCCAGGACAATAGCAGTAGGAATGGGCCTCTCTTAAAGTTGAAAACAAAACAAAACAAAACGGGGATTCTCATCTCATTTCACCCCGGCCCTGGCCCTGAAAGGCTTTCCTTTTGCTCTTCTCCAAGCCCTGTCTAGGGAGGCGGATGTTCTGAAGCGCTCTTGGCGGCTCTATCCACCAATTCTGCGTCTTCAATGGGTGCTACGTTACCCTGGTGACGAAAGATGCCCTTCGTTTTAGGACTTCTTTCCTCCAATTCGGTCTGGGAGGTAGCACAGCAGGGAAAGTGTGAGAGTCACTTTAGACGGGAAGGAACAAGGCTCCAAGGCTTCGAAGAATGGCCGAGGCCGACGCACACCAGACGCTGGAGAGCAACACTCCTAGCCAAGCCTGGGTTTCCCCTTACCCCCGCCTCCTCGGCTAAGCTCGACCCACTGTAGGGCGGGACCTCCCACCTCAACCAATTCTGGGGGCCGAACCCTGGCGGTTTGTACTCTTTCTTTCCAATGAGAAAAAAAGGAAGCATCTTGGCTCCAATGACCAATCCGAGGAGGCGGCGCCTGGTTGTCAGGCAGGTTTGTAAGAGTTCGGGCCAATTGGAGACGCAGACACCGCTCGACCCGGGCGCAGCGCGCAGGCGGTGGCGGAGAGACGCCGAGCGGGCCGAGTGCGGCCGAGCAAAGCCGGAGCCGGAGCGGGGCCGCAGGAGCCGGGCCGGGTCCGGCCCGGCCGAGATGCCCTATAAACTGAAGAAGGAAAAGGTGAGCGTGGTGCTTTCCCCGGCGCCTCCGCCCTGGGGCCTGCGCGGAGCCCTGGGAGGGGCCCGAGCCAGGCCCGGGACAGCCCCAGACTGACCCTCCCGTCCGGCCCCCGCAGGACTCCGGGGGCCAGCCCTCCGCCCCCGCGGCTGGCAGCACCCTCAACCAGTGCCGCAGCTGGGACAGCTCCTCCACCTTGTGCGGGACAGATTTCCCCCACGTAGACCTTCCTCCCTTCCTCCCTCCTTATAGCCCCAGCTTAGGGTAGCCTCCTCCCTCCAGATCTGCCCGGCTTCCAGGTCACTCCCTTGCTTTTTCGCCCTCCGCCCCACCCCCGTCCCCGATCCCTCACTGGTTTGGGACAGCCCCTCTTCTGAGAATGCAACCTCCTTAGAATTGTCCCCTCCCCCGCCCTGCGCAGCCCCTTCCCTCCTCTCACGCTCCTGGGACGGCCTCTCCACAGTCCCTACCAGCCCCTTCTCCCTCCATGCCAAGCCCCCTGACCTAGAACAGCACTCTTTCTTTCTCCTCCACCCGAATCTGGCCTAGGCCCCTCCCTCTAGTTCTTCTTCACGCTCAAACTTAGAAACCAGGACTCAGTCCTTCCTTCTGTTAATGGAACCTCATGTCCATGCTGGAAGAGACCTCTGAGCACATGCACTGCACTGCAATCCCTAGAGGTACAGCTGAGGAGACCGAGGCCCTGACCAAGGAAGAGACTTGTCCAAGGTCACACAGCCTGCTGGAGGCCCAGCTCCAATAGCAGGTCTCCTGACTTAAAAGCCTCTTCTGTACCAGAGCCCTCCTAACGGGCATCATTGCTCTCAGGTTCATCTTAGACCAGTTATTTTTCCTCCTCTGAGCAGGCTCCTCCCCTTATGCCTAATCCTAGGATAACCTTTGCATTTTTCCTTTTTTTTTAATTGCACCAGTGTTGGATATCTGCTTTTCCTGAGCCACACTATCCTGAAATCAGGAATTTGTCCTGCGGTCACATTAGTTTTCCTTCTTACACAGCAGGCCAGCCACCTCTGGACATCTGTGCCTTTGTCATGCTGTCCTGACACAGACCATTCCTTGATGTTGCCTTCCTTTACCTTCCTCTTCTGCCTCCATACCGCCTTCCCCGGTTCCCCATCCCTGCCTTTTTCTACCCTCTGTTTCCTGCTGTTGCTGAGGTCTGACTCAGAGGTGTGGTTCCTTTGAGGTAGGGATTCACACAGAGGATGCTAGGATACCAGTTCCAGGCTCCTCCAGCTTCTCTCCTGGGGCTGGCCCCTCATGGTGGGGTCATGACTCTGACTCTGGCCTGGTGTTTTCTGGTCTCCCACTTGATGACCCCAGTGGTATAGTGCCTTCATTCGTCTTCTGATTGGCAGATTACTGGCCTCTGACCTTCTCAGTCAAACTTTACTCTGGGGCTGTTGATATTTGCCAGGCAGCTCTGATGGTAGGTTGTCCCCATCATCTCTCAGGGCCTGAGGTTCTGAGGATAGGATTGATGATGGTGTGCCAGACGCTGAATTTTTTGGGGTGCTGAGCTGGGCAAGGTTGTGTGTCCCCTCTGGGCCCTTTGGGGAGTGGGCATGCTGAAGGGGTTTTGGCAGCTCAGCTGTAGACAAAACACCCACAGGTCAGCTTGGGGCCAAGGAGGGTAGAGTTCAGGGGCTGCCGGGGAGGTCCCTTCTCTGCAGTTTTCAGTCTGATGGACCAGATACTGTCCCATCCGCAGAGAGCCTTTGCCTACTAGATGATTAAGAAGATGAGAAATTCTTGATTTGACTTGCTCAGATCATGGGTATTTAAATGTTGGGTTGGGAAAAGGTGTTGGAAGGATTGGAGTGCATGAAACCAGGCATAACTCTTCTATAAGGCTTAACTTTCTTTTTTTTTCTTTCATGCTTGGAGTGTTTTTCAAGCTGCTGAGTCTGGGACTCAAACCATGCAGTCAGTCATGTGGGATCCATTCACCTTAACCACTATGTCACTGACTGCCCCAAGGCTTACCTTTTTGCTTTTGCTTTTTGGCTCCATTTGGCCTCCTTCAATGATTGGCAAGTTCAGAGGGGGAGTGAGGTGACAGTGTGACTGAGGTGCCTGGATGGGGTGAGGGTCCAGAGAGGGGTGGGAGGTAGAAAGTCTATTGCTCATCCATTACCTGTTCCTTTCTCTTTCATGTCTGCTGCTTCCAACCCTGGCCGTCTTGACTGCCTCCTCCCTGAAGCCTTTCCTGAGCCCTCTGTCAAGAGTGAGCTCCTCCCCTGCATTTGCTGACACTTTTTGCATTTGCCCTTATGTGGACAAGTCTTTTATCTCCCCTTGAGACAATAATTAAGTCCCATTTTGGTTTGGTGTCTCTTTTGCACATAGTAGGTGCTTAGTAGAGAGATGCTAAATCAATCTGTTGGTGGGTATGCATCTTCCCTCATCTCTCATCTTCTGCTCTGGGCCCTATCTTTTTGTTCCTCACTGGGGTGTCCCTACTCTTTTTATTTCTTTTTTTTTTTTTTTTTTTTAGAGAGAGAGATTTTTGTTATAGGGTGTGTGTGCTTGCTGTAGAGACAGACAAAAGCGAGAAATCATCCCCCAGTTGGAATGACCACACTGCAATCGTTTTTAGTCTCTTCTTGGGATCTTGGGCTTGCATACACATGTGCCTGGCCTGAGTTTAAGCTGCTGGGTCCGGGACTTGAACCACGGTCGACTACGTGGGAGTCCACTATTGTAACCATTATGCCATGCTGGTCCCCCTCCTGCTTCCTTTTTAAGAAAATTTTGCCAGAGGTAGAAAGTTCCCAGTATAGGGAATGGTCATGCCACATTTCCGTCTTCATTTCTCCATCCCATTGGGATTTTGGATAGGCATGCACACACCTCTGGCATGTTTTTCAAGCTGCCAGGGCCAGGACTCGAACTGTGGAGTCAGCCATTTGGGATTCCGCTGCCTGAACTACCAGGCCATGGAGCCAGTCCCCTCCTACTTTCTTCTTGTTAATAATATTTGTAGCAGTGACCACCAGGACGGTTTTCAGACACTGAGCTAAGGGAAGTGGGTCCTAAGGTTGTTGTCATTTTATAAATGAGGAAACAGGCCTGGAGAGGGTTATATAGCTAGTAAAAGTTGGGCCCCAAACACAGGGCTGGCTCCAAACCTGCTCTTTTATCTACGCATCAGGCAGTGCTTGACTGCTGGGCTGCACAGAAGTTCATGCACTTCACCTGTCGTGCAGGAACCGGGGAGCCGGGGTGGTGGGCCTGGTTCCTCCACGCCTGCTCACACCCACACACCGAGGCAGCTGAATCTCTCTTAGGCACGTTCCCTGAGAGATGTCTGAGGCATTGTGCTACGTGCTGTAGAGTGGGTGGAGGGGTACAAAAAGATTAAGCAGCTTATGATCAAGTAGAGATCAAATATGTTCAAAGGTGGGTCAGCTTTGTCCGAGGGGCGCATGTGTAAGATGCAGTGTGTGCAGTCACCTCAGTGTCGTGTCCTGCCTGCATCCTTCCACATCCTTTTTCTTTCCGCTCCCATGTTCTGAGCCATTGATGATGAGGGGTCAGTGTGGCCAGCCTGGTCAGGAGATGGTGGGAGAGGGCTCATCCCGAAGAAGGAGCTCCTTCCCCTGGGACTGCATGGATCTGCTCCACACCTGCAATGGCTTTCTTCCTCCCCACCCCTAAGAAGCCTTTCCCCCACTCCAGCCCACACAGAACTCTCTTCTCCCTGAAATCCTTTTGCCCCCATAGTCAATCATTTGATTTAACACTTCTCACTGAAGGGGCTTGGCTGCTGTTGAATTGCAGAATCTCAGAGTTGGAAGTGATTTCCAAGATTCTCCAACCCAGTTCTCATTTAGGGCCTCTGTCCCTTTTGCAGCAGGCCTGAGAGGAGGTCACCCAGCCCCTCGAATGCTCTCGGGGTTGGGGAGCTTTCAGCCTCCCCAGGCAGCGGGTTTCTGTGCAACTGTTCTGGGAGAAAATCCCTGCTGGTTTGGAGCCTCCTTCCTGCCCTGCAGCCCGCTGCTCCTGCGCCTCGGGCCCATATGCACAAGTTGCCACGTTAGTCCACATGGCAGCCCTTCATTTGTTAAGATCCATCTTGCTCCCCCACCCCCATGAGCCTCCCTTTCATTGTTAACTGTCCCAGTTCCTGCAGCTGTTGCATTTGGGACATGCTTTTGAATCCACTCCCAGTCAGGGTTGTGATTCCCCCTAAGAAAGACTAGGGTTTGTCCTTGCCCCTCCTGAAGTCTGCTGCTCTCAGCTAAACCAGGTCGTCCTGGAGGGCCCTGTCAGTGCCAAGTGCTCACCCAGGTCTGTTAACTGGATGGAAGGGCACGTGATGGCACCCAGATGATTTGTGTCGAGCTTGCAGTCAGACCTAAATCCCCAAGTCTTTTTCACATTTTCCCCATCCTGTCCCTGTGCGGTTGCTTTTTTTGGCCGAAGTAAAGGAAGAGATTCTGGGCAGGCCAGGGCTCTGAGCCAGCTGCCAAGTTCCCAGGGGAGACTTCAGACTGGCGCTTGCTCTTTGTAACATTTCAGGGCTTTACCACCCTCTCCGTCCCAGTGCTTGTCCACTAGGGCACTATTGGCATTTTGGGTGCGACCATCTATATACTCGCTAACCTCTCAGGGACCTACATTACATGCCAGTAGCACCCTTTTGTCTAGATGCTATTTGTGACATCCAAAAAATGCCTCCAGGTCTTTCCAGATGGCCCTCCCCTTCAGCATGGAAGTCTCTGGCATCCCCCTGGCTACTTTTGCCAGAAGCCTGTCCGAGCAGCTGATTCCCTTAAGCCCTCTCACCCTGGTTCTTACCTGACCAAGGCCCTCCCAGGCCTGACCCATGCACCAGCCTGGTGAGGTGAATGATGACAGAGCATTATCACGTTTGCTTCTTGTGCTGTAGGGACGACTTCCTAACCAGATTCTAAAGTCCTTGGAGGGCCCACAGCTCCTTTTCCCCTATGGCCACGCACAAGGTGGGGTCTGACTGATTGATGAATGAACTGATTGATACAGTTGGACAGAGGATAATTGCAACAGAGATCTAAGGGGTCCAGTTAGACTTCCTTCCCCTGGCGTCTGCTAATCCCACCCCCATCTTCTCCCTTCAGGAGCCCCCCAAGCTTGCCAAAGGCACGGCCAAGCCCAGCAGCTCAAGCAAGGATGGTGGAGGCGAGAACGCCGAGGAGGTAAAGACCGTAGGCACAGCCCTTGTGGTGCAGGGGTCTGCCCTGACTCCTTGAAGCCTAGTGGGGTGAGTGGGTTTCAGGGGCCAGAGGTTACCCTGGCAGAAGGGAAGAGGCTCCCACAGTCTGCGAGGGACCCAGACTTCTGACTCCCTCAGGCAGGCTTTCCCATTGGCCGGCGTAGCCCAGATAAACTCACTAGTCCTTCAGACTCCTCAGAGATTCTTGTGAAAGTCGTTTCTCTGTCTACTAACTGAGTGTTGAAGACTCCTTTTTCTTAGTAATGCAGGCCGGGGTCCAGGGTCCTGGGGAGAAGGGGAAAAGTCCACGAGTTGATGGGTGACAAGTGGCTTAGGCATGGCTGTAGGTGGGGCAGGGGTTTGGGAGTGGCTGGTGTCCCTGTGTCAGGAAGGGCTGGGCCCACTGCCTTTGGTCTCAGTCAGATGGGAGCATGACTGGAGGACAGTGGTGAGCAGAGGTCAGTGCAACTCAGCAATCTGGGGCTGTAAAGCAATAAATGGCAAGGCAGGAGAGCACCAGAGGGTGGAGGGACTTCAGGACGGCCTGAGTGTGGCCAGGAAAGTATAGGTGTGCTCGGTGGGCTGTTTTGGATGGGGAAAGGGTCTGTGAACATGTGGCGTGAACACCCATCCCTCCTTTGCAGCTGCTGATAGTCCTTTCTCTGCCTCCTCCCCCCTGCTCTAAAGTGGTCAGAGGAATGGAGGAGAACACGAAACAAAGGTCTCTGATTCTGGGCATATCTTGTGTTTTTTTTGAGGGAAGAGATTGATTAACAAGTGATTGGGGATATCTCTGGGGTTAGGTTACTCTGGGTGTTTCTCATCCCTGTCACCTCTAAAGAGATCGAAGAGCTTTTTACGTCTGTGACCATCACTTGAGTCGTCAGCAGAAGCAGAATAGATTTTCCCCATTTTATAGACATGGAAGTTGAGGACCATAGAAGAAAAATGACTCCTTCCTCCGCACTTCCTCAGAAGGGTAGACACATCTCCAGGGCAGGCCTTACTACTCGGCATCGTGGCCTTTGTTCCCATCTGTGTCTCTCCTTCCAGGCTGGGAACACTGAGGGAACTGCTGTTGGTACCTTGTATGGCTTCTTCTCCACACCTGTGTGGGCTCTTCCCCCTGCCCCCAGTTTTGCTATAGGGCATGTGTGCTTGCCAGAGAGAGACAGAGAGAGACAGGGAAAGTAAGAAATCACCCCCAAGAGGGCATGGGCCATGCCGCAGTCTGTTCTCCATTTCCTCTTGGGATTTTGGGCATGCATATACATGTGCCCTGCATGTTTTTCAAGCTGCTGGGTCTGGGACTCAGACCACAGTCAGCCATGTGGAATCTAGCCACATTAACCACCATGCCACCAGCTGGCCCCTCATGTATACTCTTTTTTTAATTTAATTATTTAATTTTTCTTATTATTTTTTAAGTTGACTAGAGGAAGACAGAGAGAAAGTGAGAAAGCAAGCAAGTTTGAGTCCCAGTTCCAGGTCTGGGACTGGAACCATTGTTAGCCATGTGGGGGCTCAGCAGCATAACCACCACACTACCTGCCTGCCCTGTGTATACCCATTTTTTTTTTTTTTTGGGGGGGGGAGAGGTTTTTGCTATAGGGCACGCACACTCACCAGAAAGACAGAGAACAGAAAGTGAGAAATCACCCCCTGGGGGGATGGCCAAGCTGCAATCCCTTCTCCATCTCCTGTGTGTACTCATTTTAGAAAAGTTTTTGTTGGGACCAGCAGTTAGCGTAATGGCTATGTTGCTGGACTCCCATGTAGTTGATTGCGGTTTGAAACCCGGACCCGGTGGCTTAAACTCACACCGGGCGTGTGTGCATGTGTGCCCAAGATCTTTAAAAGAGAATTGAGTAGAAGGGGTTGCGGCGTGGCCACCCCCCCTGGGGGGTGATTTCTCGCTTTCTGTCTCTCTGTCTCTCTTGTGAGCCAACACACCCTATAGCAAACACCTCTCCCCACCAAAAAAAAGTTTTTATTGATTTATTCCATGAACAAGAGAGATGGAGAGATAGCACCCCTAATAAGGCCTTGACACCATGATCCACCCTTCGCTTCAGCCAGTGCCAGTTCATAGGCATGTGCCTGGCGTGCTCAGGAAGGTCTCTGGACATGAACTGGGAACCTCCCACATGGCTCAGCCTCATAGTGTTGCGGAGCGTTGCCTTTTACCGCTACGCCACCATCCTCACCTCCCTCCATCCCTGCGCACCTCTGCCCCCCAGCTTGGTTTATAGTGAATGCTTCTGGGCACACACCGTCTGGCTGTCTTCTCTTCAGGAGTGAAGGCATTTGAACTGGCAGCTGACATTCAAAGCAGCACAAGAGACAGAATTTGAAGGAAGAGAAAGGAGGGCCAGTCCGCAGTTGGCAGTTACGGTGGGTGGATCCAGTAGGGCTGACTTTATGGCGGTCAAGTCCTAGCTCAGGAGCTTGAAAACACGACGGGGCGCCTGTGCCCAAAATCCCGAGAGGAGAATGGAGGAGAAAGGGTTGTGGCGTGCCCATCTGGGGGTCGCTTCCCATCTCCCCACACCTTGTCTCTCCGGTGAACACACACACTTTATAGCAAAAAAGAAAAAAAGAAGAGAAAGGAATATGTAGTGGACTGTTCTGACCTTTTGCCTAGTTAACTCCTGGTTCTTTAAAGAAAATACAGGTCATGGCCCTGTTCGGGGCCCTTTTGGCACTCAGTAGCACAGTGGCACCTATGTACAACCGTCATGAAACACTTCCTTGTGAATTCATTGTTGGTCAGCTGACTCGTGTTAGCAGGGGAGCTCCCTGGGGCTCTCGTTCGCTGCCAAAGGGCCTGGCACAGCGGAGGTCCCCAGCATTTGAATGCGTCAGTGAGTAAGTGAACGAGTGAATGAACTAACAAACCGACTTTACTGTGTGGCTGGAAGGAATCTGAGGGTCTAACTCATCTCTCAGATGGGAAGATGAAGGCTTGAACAGGTCGAGAAGTATGCTGAGACCAACTGCCATGACTTGCCCACTGCCTTGGCTGGACCTGCCCAGAGCAGTGGGTCTAGTTCCAGCCCTCTGGGAAAGGAGGGTGTTGTGTTCCCCTGGCCTCTGGTTTGTCAAATGGTGCTGTAGGTTCACTGTCTGAGGCAGCTGCAGGAATTCAGCTGGAAAGGCTGGGGCCAGGCTGCGAGGTGGTGGTCTTTAAAGGCTATTTGGCACAGTCCTTCTCTGGCCCTTGTTCTAGTCCAGGATTTTGGACTCTTTCAGCCAAATTCACTTCGTGTCAGTGTTTGCCAGAGCCCTTCGACTGATCCTAATGATCGTAGCAGCTAACATTTATCTGATGGGACTCTGTATTAGTTTCTAGGGCGGTCGCAGCAAATTGCTACCCACTGGACGGCCTAGAGCAACTGAAATGTGTTCCCTCGTGGGTCTGGAGGCCAGGTGTCTAAAACCAAAGTCCGCAGGGCCATGTCCTTCTGGGGACCGGTGAGGAATCTGTCCATGCCTCGCCTAGCTTCTGCCGCCTTTCCTACTCCTCGGCGTCCTTGCTTTTCAACGCATCCCTTCAGCTTCTGCCTCGGTCTTCATGTGCCACTCTCCCCTACGCCTCTGTCTCTGTCCAAACTTCCCTCTTATAAGGACACCAGGCAGCCCTGTTGGACTTAGGGCTCACTCTAATCCAGCGCGACCTCATTTTAACTTGATTACATCTGCAAAGACCCTGTTTCCAAATAAGGTCACATGCACGGATTCTGGGTGAAGATGGATTTTGGGGGGACACTGTTCAGCCCAGTACACTATGTACCAGGCACTGTGCTAAATATTTGCGTGCATTGTCTCATTTAACCTTTACACCACTCCCCTGAGGTGCGATATCACTGTCCCCTTTTTAACAGATGAAGCCGAGCCCTAGAGATATTAAATAGTTTTCACTCAGAGCTGGCATTCAGCTCCGGTCTGTGAGACTCAGGAGCCAGTTCTCTGTGGTCCTGATGAAGTGACCTGCTGGCTCCAAGGTTCCAGAAGAGAATTACAGAATGGAAAGGGGCCTTGGGAGGTCAAGTGAGATCCCCTGTGACGCTCCTCTACAGGGAAGGGTCTTTTCGTGGTCTGTGTTTGGGGAAAACAGCTCAACGCTGTGGACTCTTCTACTTGCTCTGCCCTGTCCTGGGTACTGGGAGCGGAGGCGGAAGGAGGAAATTATGCCAGTCTCTCCCCACTTCAGCCAGTCCTCCCTGAGGCCAGAGTTATTACCGTGAAATCCTCTTCGGTCTTATCAGTCCTCTACTTAAAAACCTCCCTGGCATCTCACTGCTTGGAAGTTAAAAGCCAAACTCGCGAAGTGTGGCACCCCAGGCCCTTCTCAGCTGGCCCCACCTCATTCTTCTGGCATTCTTCTAGTTTGGCCCACTGAATGTCCTTTTTTTAAAAAAAATAGTTTTTGTTTTTAGGTTTTTTAAAGAATTATTTTATTTGACTCCCTCTCTATATTTGTTTGTTTATATTTTTATATATGTAAATATACATATATATATATACTATATATATATGTATGTATGTATATATGTATATATATCCAGAGAGGGACAGAGGGAGAGAGAGAGAGGGAGAGAGAGAGAGAAAGCAAGCAAGCTACCAGGTCTGGGACTTGAACTGTGATTGGCTATGTGGGAGCCCAGCACCCTTAAGCACCATGCCACCTGCTGGTCCCTTTATAGTTTTTGTTATAGGGCACATATACTCACCAGAGAGAGAGAGAGAGAGAGAAAGTGAGAAATCACCCCTGGGGGAATGGCCACACTGCAGTTTCTCTCCTCCCACTCTCCTCCTGGGGTTTTGGGCACGTATGCACATGTGCCTGGCATGATTTTCAAGCTGCCAGGTCTAGGACTCAGACCACACAGTCAGCCATGTGGGACTCAGCACCTTAACCTCCATGCCACCTGCTGGTCCTCTTCCCTTTTTTTAAAGTTTATTTATTTGTTTTTTCCATGT